TGAAGAAAAATGTAGTTTCAGGCAAATTTCATGGAGTAAAGTGACCTTAAATTTAACTTAAATCAATTAAACTCAGAAATGTAAGTGTAAATTAAGAACTATATTAAGTTGATGCAGTTACCAACATTATTATGTTGAAACAATCCATCAAAATAAAGTACTTTTATAGATTTATTATTGGTCTGTAGGAAATTTGACAAAATCTGCTGGGTGACATGATCTCCTACAGTCTTATAAGTATCTACAATTGATTAACAATCTTTTCTGAGCCAATTGAACAGGGCCTATTTGTTACAATAACTGGGCTCTGCCACAAACACTACAATGGGAGTGTCTGAGGAGCTCAACACAGGTCATCGGCAGCACAAGCAGGTTTGCAACGAATTAGAGGTTGAACACAGCTGTCAGTGTCCACAGCCAAGGGGGTTTTGAGAGAACGTGAGGCCTGTAACCCCAAGAACACCAGAACTACTATCAAGGATGGTAGCAGCAGTGTTACAAGGTGTGTCATGAAAGTTCCAGGATATATTTCAAACCCAATCAGACGAACAACCAGCACGTCTACAAAGAGATCCTGCAGCGTTTGCTTCGTCCAGAAGAGGAAGAGTTGTGGCAGGACCAGTGGTGGCTGCTTCACCATGACAACCTGCTCACAACGCCCTGAGCATCCCACAGGTCCTGGCTGAGAAGAACATCTCTGTGCTGGAGCAACCTCCCTACTCACCCCACCTGGCTCTGTGGGATTGTTTCCTCTTCCCCAAGCTCAAGGGGGTCAGACCCATTTAGAAGACGTGGACGACGTCAAGATGGCTGTGACGACGGAGCTGCAGAGGATCCTGGAGGAATCCTTCCAGGAGTGCATGGCGGCGTGGCAGAGAAGGCTGGGGAGGTGTGTTAGACTCCAGGGGGATTACTCTGAAGGAGAAAACTGGTAGTTTGTAGTTTGGATTTGAAAATACACCACCAGTCCTGGAACTTTTCTGACTCACCTCGTATGCTCTGAGGCTGTTTTGACGCCAGTGGAACTGGTGCTTTACTCAACGTAAATGTAATAATGAAGAAAGAGGACTACCTAACATTATCATTCAGAGGGTTTTGTTTTGTTTTTCCAACAAGACAATGAATCAAAACACAAATCAAAAGTTGTAACTAAATGGCTAAATCAAGCTGTAGTCGAGGTCCTGACTTAAACCCCATCAAGAACCTGTGGACTGTGCTGAAGAAGCAAGTCTGTGTCAGAAAGCTGACGAATTTAGATAAACAGCACTGATTCCATCAAGAGGCGTGGTTCACTGAAAGTGCCTCATCGAGATGGAAATAGTCAAAAGACATAAAACCAAATATTAGAATTGGTGTATATTTATTTTTGACCCAGCAGATTTTGTCATATTTCCAGAAGACCTGTAATAAATCTATGAAAGAACCAAAATGCATGGCTGTTCGTTTGTGACAAAGACACGTGATTTAATCATTCCGAGTCATTGGAATCTCGAGACTACCTTGAAATACATCTTGTTGTTTCAGTGTATGTAAACTTTTGTTTACAACTTCATAGAAAAGCCTTTGAACAAAGTAAGTGTTTGGGGGCAATTCACTAAAGTATCAACAGTACAAAATGCATGAAGGGTGATATTTTATTTACATTTAAACAAAAAACAATAAAATCAACCTGATTCAGTTTGGAGTAATTCCTGGAATAAAATCTGTGCCTTGGATAAAGTGTCCCTACTTCTGCCTTTTAATAAACCTTTCACTAATAAATTATGTACGTATTTGCCGGCACTGTAGCAGACGTCTGTGGTTTCTGCTCGTTCCCTTCGTCTTTCCACTGACTGATGAGATTTTAAAACAACGAGGGGTTGGCCGCTGAGTCTGCCCAGCCCTCTTCCTGTAGTGAGGAAGGGTTTTACTGCAATCTAATATTTCTGGACGAGGACGCACACTCGCTGTTCACACCTCTCACAGACTGGACTCTCTCATGATGCTCGTCCTCTTTCTGCTCCTCTTCACAGGTGAGGTTTTCTGCTCATCCTCGCAGCACGTTACTTTCTGTCAAGGAACTAGTCTCAATGAAAACTTGTAGGATTCTGGGACTGATTGCTGGTTATCAGACTGCTGGTTTTATTAGTGTGTATATAAGGTGATAAATAGAAGACAGATCTCAAATAGATGTCTCAAAATCTCTATAAAAAATCACTAAGTGTTAAAGTTGTTATGCAGTCGAGTAGATGACCTCAAACACCTGCCAGTGTCCATCTGCAAACACTGGATGTTATTGTGGGTTTAGTGAGCTGAAGTTTATTAGGGACTGCTGCTGAGAGACTCATTCAAAAGCATTGTTAATGTCCAGCAAAGCTTTACAGCAGTTATTCAAAGAATGGACATCAGCATGTTTCTGCATTTCTTTCTTAATTTAATGCGTGTCTTCGTGTATTTTAGCTGTCGACGGGGAATCCTCTGAGAAAGTTTGCAGTTATCAGGATGTTTTAAACTACCTTAACTTGACCAGCAACAACGAGCTGTTCTCCATGACGCGTCCTGTCAAAGACCACAAGCAGTCCACAGAAGTGTCCCTGGAACTTCTGCTGTATGCAATTCTAGATGTGGTGAGTGTTGAAGACCAAACCCAAAGGATTTTACTCTGATCTTTTAATTAATGCGCTCAGATTGGACTTTTTTTTGGTTGCAGTTTTTCTACCTGTGTGTAAATCTAATTATCTTGGCAGTTTCAGTGAACTGTGTGGGATTTTTAAAGTATTTAAAATATGCTCTGATAGTTTTGATGAGTTTTGGCTCAGCTGTTCTGCTGCTGTGTTCTTTGGCCTGAACAGATCTTGTTTCTTTCCTTGTCTATAGAAGGAGATCGACCAGACGTTTGTCCCTTATGTCTGGATTCTCATGGTGAGTTTTGATTTCATCTCCTCGGTTCACACTCTGTTGGAAAACTGTGACTTCTTTCTTTTAAAAGCCATGTTTTTGTTCCTGCTCAGACACCTTTGATGGTATCCCTGACTCCACCCTTGTTTTCCTCCACAGAAATGGCAGAATGATTACATTAGCTGGGATCCACGTGACTTTTGTGGCATCACAAATGTTTCTCTACCTACTCAAGTCCTGTGGAAGCCAGACCTCACAATTGAAGAGATGTGAGTATAAATGTAGAGTACAGTAATTTGCCTTAATGGCTTCAAGCGAGGAGATTTTTTGACAGGCATTTCACAAATCTGAGAGCATCACCAGTGCAAGGACATACACTCCAAGTGAAGCACAGGGCATCTGTGCAGCAACAGTACATCCGAGTGCAGACAAACCGTTTTGAGCAGGAGTGAAGCTGATTTGCATCGAGCAGGGGCTATTTTAGAGAGAGGGCAGGGTTTGAAGGGAAAGCACGACACAATCTGAATGTAAAACGGAGAAATAATGCAGAAATATTGAAATTTAAATCCGTATTATCAAGCCACACCCAACAGAAGACTATAGACTAATGTTATATGCAAAATTTTGAGCATCCCTGGGAAAATGACATCAAAGACGATCATAAAACCCCAGCAGCAAACCACACTAAATACAGATACTAAAACATAAACCTTTCTGCCTTTATTTCATGAACTTTAAAAGGCAGAATACAATAAAACAGTAGCATTTGGGACAGCCAGTTGGTGAGGGTGCTAATCGTCTGGCCCAGCTTCATCACCATTTGTTTTGTTGTTGTGTAAAGACTATTGAAAGCTATGTCAGTATGGGAGTTCAGGAAACTCATGCTGCAGGTTTCTGAGATACTGAGAGGAAAGAATCTGACAAACAGCCGCAAGCAACAAACTAAATCTCAGCTCCTGGTAACATTTTGACGTCTGTGTACGTTTCCGTCAACTAAAAGCATAAACGCTGTTCTTTGTGCTCTCTGTGATGCTCATACCAACACAATCAGTTGATTTTCCTTACACCGTAACTCAATGCATTCACTAAGACTTCACAGTTTCAGTGACCTTTCAGATGTTGGGGAGGCAAGACTTCAGCGGTGGCCTTGGAGGCGCCTCTGCTTTCACCCCAATCTTTCACTAATGAAGCTTTCATGTGTACATGCGTGTGTTTATGTACAAGGTGTGTCAGAAAACTTCCAGCACTGGTGTCACAAAAGATGTATCTCAAATCCAAACTACAAATTACCAGTTTTCTCCTTCAGAGTAATCCCCCTGGAGTCTAACCCACCTCCCCAGCCTTCTCTTCACGCCGCCATGCACTCCTGGAAGGATTCCTCCAGGATCCTCCACAGCTCCGTCATCACAGCCATCTTGATGTCATCCACGTCTTCTAAATGGGTCCCCTTGATGACCCCCTTGAGCTTGGGGAAGAGGAAACAATCCCACGGAGCCAGGTGGGGTGAGTAGGGAGGTTCCTCCAGCACGGAGATGTTCTTCTCAGCCAGGACCTGTGGGATGCTCAGGGCGTTGTCATGGTGAAGCAGCCTCCACTGGTCCTGCCANAAACATTTAACATATTTTGTATTTGCATGATGGAATAAATGTCCAGTCATCTGTTTGTAAAGCATGTACTATTAGACTGTTGAAAAAAACAAAAACTTTCTTTCTTTCTTTCTTTCTTTCTTTCTTTCTTTCTTTCTTTCTTTCTTTCTTTCTCACCTCTCTTTTTATGTATGTAAACATGTGCATAGATTTTCAGGGGATACGTCACCCTTAACCGGGACATTTCCCCCAATAATAAAAACTCCAACAATAGCAAAGGACTTTTACTTTGAAATAAAAGGCTGAATTTACTCATTGCGCCTGAATTTGTGTTTTCCTTCACATAAAGACACTTGCACCATAAATTAATGCAGAAACTATCATAATTAATATAATAATAATAATTACTAATGATCACAAGTTTTTACGTTTTTTAAAAATCAAGTTGCTCCAGTTTAAAGTAGTACAGGGAGGCAACTTGATCTCTATGTGAAGAAAAATGTAGTTTCAGGCAAATTTCATGGAGTAAAGTGACCTTAAATTTAACTTAAATCAATTAAACTCAGAAATGTAAGTGTAAATTAAAAACTATATTAAGTTGATGCAATCACCAACTTTGTTATGTTGAAACAATCCATCAAAATAAAGTACTTTTATAGATGTATTATTGGTCTGTAGGAAACATGACAAAATCTCCTGGGTGACAGGATCTCCTACAGTCTTATGAGTAATTACAATTGATTAACAATCTTTTCTGAGCCAATTGAACAGGGCCTATTTGTTACAATAACTGGGCTCTGCCACAAACACTACAATTGGAGTGTCTGAGGAGCTCAACACAGGTCATCGGAAGCACAAGTCAGGAAAGTCAATCGGAACCATTTCAAAGATTATTCAGATCCCAGAAAGCAGGTTTATGACGAATTAGAGGTTGAACACAGCTGTCAGTGTCCACAGCCAAGGGGGTTTTGAGAGAACGTGAGGCCTATAACCCCAAGAACACCAGAACTACTATCAAGGATGGTAGCATCAGTATTACGAGGCGTGTCATGAAAGTTCCAGGATATATTTCAAACCCAATCAGACGATCAACCAGCATGTCTACAAAGAGATCCTGCACCGTTTGCTTCGTCCAGAAGAGGCAGAGTTGTGGCAGGACCAGTGGTGGCTGCTTCACCATGACAACGTCCTGAGCATCCCACAGTTCCTGGCTGAGAAGAACATCTCTGTGCTGGAGGAACCTCCCTACTCACCCCACCTGGCTC